TTTTTTAAAGAGATGGGGTCGCCGGGCGCAGTGGCTCAAGTCTGTAATCCCAGCACTTTGGGAGGCCGAGGTGGGCGGATCACAAGGTCAAGAGATCGAGAACATCCTGGCCAAAATGGTGAAACCCCGACTCTGGCTAAAAATACAAAAATTAACTGGGTGTGGTGGTGCGCACCTGTAATCCCAGCTACTCAGGAGGCTGAGGCAGGAGAATTGCTTGAACCTGGGAGGTGGAGGTTGCAGTGAGCTGAGATCGTGCCATGGCACTCCAGCCTGGAGACAGAGCGAGAGACTCCATCTCAAAAGAAAAAAGAGAGAGAGAGAGAGAGAGAGAGAGAGAGAGAGAGAGAGACAGGGTCTCACCATGTTGCTCAGGTTGGTCTCGAACTCCTGGGCTCAGACAATCCTCGGCTTCCCAAAGTGGTAGAATTATGGGCATGGGCCACCGTGCCTGGTCCCCAACTCTTTCTTATTTTATATTTTTTCAGAAACAGATCTTTCTATGCCCTGTGCTGTCTCGGCTGTGGTGCAGTAGGTTCTCACAGGCACGATCCCACTCTGATCAGCACAGAGTTTTGAGATGCTTCATTTCCAAGCTGGTTCTGTTCACTCCTCCTTAGACAACCTGATGTTCCTCCACTACCAGGAGGTCACCATCCTGATGCTAAATTTAGTGGGGACACCGAATCTGCACAGCCCAGAGTTCCTGGGCTCAAGCTTTCCTCCTGCATCAGCCTCCTGAGTAGCTGGGGCCACACGCGCACGCCACCATACCCCACTAACGCTTATTATTATTATTATTATTATTTTGAGATGGAATCTCACTCTGTCACCTAGGCTGGAGTGCAGTGGCGCCATCTTGGCTCACTGCAACCTCTGCCTCCTGGGTTCAAGCGATTCTCCTGCTTTAGCCTCCCGAGTAGCTGGGATTACGAGCACGTGCTGCAGTGCCCAGCTGATTTTTGTATTTTTAGTAGAGACGGGGTTTCACCATGTTGCCCGCGCTGGTCTTGAATTCCTGACCTCAGGTGATCCACCTGCCTCGGCCTCCCAAAGTGCTGGGATTACAGGCGTGAGCCACTGTGCCCAGCCTAATGTTTATTATTTTTTGTAGAGGGTGTCTCACTATGTTTCCCAGGCTGGCTCATAAACTCCTGGCCTCAAGCGATCCTCGTGCTTCAGCCTCCCGATTGCAGGCGAGCACCACTGTACTCAGCTCAACTCTCCTTCTTTCAGGTTTGATTTCACCATTTAAAAATACCAGCTTGGAGTTTCTTTTGATATAAAACATAAAGACCTAATAAGAATTATTTTTTTAAAGGAGGAGCTAAGTAATTATCTTGTAGTCAACCAGGAAATAATTATCACTGATTTTTAAAAACACACTCTTAAATATAGATATATTTAGTTTAGACTTTTTACCTTTTTCTATCAACTGGTGCATTCCCATGTACCATACTGTTTTAGTTACTGTAGCTTTGTGTTACGCTCTCACTGTTGGTCCTTTCTCATTCCTCTTTTTAAAAACATTTTCTCATCTATTCTCACTTGTTTCTTCTTCCAGAGGTAAGTTTTAGAAACATCTGGCCAATTTTAAAAAATTACAATAGGATTTATCTTTGAAACTCTGTTAAGCCTAAAAAATTCATTTGAGGAGAATTAACGTCATGGCCATTTTTAATATTCTCCTGGCATCTTTTTCTGTTTCATAAAGTTCTTCAAAACAGTTTTACCTGCCCCTGTTATTTCCTCAGACAAGTAGATACAATTCTTTGTCAGACCACAAAAAGTTTTATAAATTTAAAATTAAGCCAGAAGTGATTTAAACGGCAGCAAATCTGAAAATGTAGAAAGGGCTTATCAAACAATATAGAAGTGGGACTCTTAGCCAAACCAAATGAAAACCCATTAACACTAGACAGCTCATGTGCCTGAATGGAATTTTACCATTAACTACCATTTATCCCATTTAATTAGTATTTTCCTGACACACAATAACTTGCACTAAAATACCGTTCTCTCGCCTTTAAATTTCTAATTATTGTTGCGACCTACACCATTACGCATCTCCACTGCTTTCTCCATCTTTCATGCCATTTAAGCGGTAAGATTTTCAATTATCTACGCAGGATGGACAGAGATACCTTTAAGGAAAGGGGCATAATATGCAACTCAATTTCTCTAAAAGCCAGGAGAAATCATTTTTAGTCAGAACAAACACACTTTGTCTTTCATCATTTTTTTTTTTTTTTTTTGGCAAATAAAGAGTAAAACAGGCTATTTAAAACATCCATTTAAATGCAAATTTTGATATCCCAAGAGAAAAATGTTAATCATTTAAATAGACAGGATTATCGCCCACCCTTACCACTTCCCTCCTCTCCCAAGTTTTAGAAAATGTAGCCTCAGCCCACACAAGTTAAGTCAGCCAGGAGTCCTTACATCTTAAGAACTCCCACTCAGATGAGAGGGCTGAGGCAGACAGAGGGGGACTTTTCCTTCTTTTGAGGAAGGAGATGGAAAAGAGAGAAAATAGTCTAACATATCCTATAAGCCAGGCATGGGGCAAAATTATAAATACAAACACACACACACCCCCACACACACACGCACGCACGCACACATACCTACACACACACTCAATCATCACAACTGTCTTGGAATGGGGAATTATCATCCTCATCTATACACAAGGAAACTGAGGCTCAGAAAGGTGAAGCAGTTTGCCCCACTGGTAGGTGACCCAATTGGGAGCAGAGGCCTCCATAGCCCTCCCAGTCCACGGTGACCTGCGGTCCTGTCTAGACTCACCCAGCATCCCCATGCCCAGCATGAACGCGTCCATGGTGTAAGGCAGTCCCCGGGCCCGGCCTCTTGTCCCAGGTGGGAACATGACTTCTTTCGGCTGAGCTTTCTTACATTCTACCTGTTAAACAGAAAGGCGAACAAATGAGATGCAAATGAATTCCACGTAAATGTCAAATGCAGAACTGATCTGGTTACGAGCTAAGTTATTTTTAGCCTTGCTCCTTACCCACTGTAAAAACAGCCGTGCCGAGTAAATGGCCTGCAAAATAAATACTTAAGAAAACACGCCACTTGTGCAAATCCTACTTCGGAAAAACCTACAAGGATGAAATTGGGTTCTGGAGGGGCGGCGAGGACGTAAGCCGAAGATACACACACAGATTGAAGCTCAGGTTGACGCTCGTGCAGAAAGCATGACAGATAAGGAGGCAGACAACGGCTGTTGGATGTGTCTGTGAATAATAACAACAATAGCAATAATAATAACCCCTCAGGATTTTCAGCCTTTACACGTTTACAAATGTCCCTGACATTCCCTCAGGCCAGTGATTCTTCATGCCAGGCCATCTGATTCAAACTCTTATTAAATAGACAGACCACTTAGCCTTAGCCCCAGTTCGCAGATGAGAAAACAGAGCATCAGAAGTTTTGTGTTGGCCGGGTATGGGGGATCATGTCTGTAATCCCAGCACTTTGGGAGGTGGAGGCAGGTGAATCAGCTTGAGCCCAGGAGTTTGAGATCAGCCTGGGCAACATGGTGAAACCCCATCTGTACTAAAAAAAGTACAAAAAACTAGGCAGGTGTGGTAGCACACACCTGTAGTCCCAGCTACCTAGGAGGCTGAGGTAGGGGGATCACCTGGGTCTGGGAGGACAAGGATGCAGTGAGCCATGATCATGCCACTGCACTCCAGCCTGGGTGACACGGCAAGACCCTGTCTTAAAAATAAAAATTATTGTGTAACATGCTGAAAGCCCTCCCCAACAGGTTCAGGCCTACAAACCAGATCTTTAGAATTTCTAGGTCAGCAATGCCACATTTCCACAAAACCTACAGCACTACCACACTCCTGAGGGAAGTAATAAGATTAAATACTGATTCTGTTCATCTGGATTACTAGTTTCTCATTTGCAGCTACATTTTCAAGTGGTTGCTAATCTCCCCTTTCTGTTTCTCTTCCGACTCTAAAATTTCTTCATGCTAATCTGCTTGTATACCCAGAGGTCACTTATTTAATAACCTTAACTATGCCAAATACAAACCTCAGGGAGTAAGTAAAACTGTGGTCCTTGGAAGTTCCTTCACTGTTTTATCAGAGCACCTTAGGCCTGTGCTTATTAGCACTTATTTGCTTTTTGTTTACAGAGAAATTTAAGAAGCATTGTTAGCCAGTAATCAATCCCACTGCTGATGAAGATGGGATGTTGCAGGGTAAAGCACGGATGCTTTTAACAGCCAAAAGGAACAGCATGACAGCCTGATAGTGATGGAGAAAAGACAAGAATCAGGTATCTTATTTAAAGAGCAGTCTGGGCCATATGGTATAGGAGCAAAAGCTCTACATAGTTCAACAGCTGCTGAGGTATCACTGTAACACAGAAAATTACTATTGTTCACAGTGTGCCTGAGATATCAAGAAAAAGTTAAACTGTGTGCAATATACATTGTTTAAATAGACACCTCTAGGCCGGACAAAGTGGCTCACACTTGTAATCCCAGCACTTAGGGAGGCTAAGGCAGGCAGACTGCTTGAGCCCAAGAGTTTGAGACCAGCCTGGCCATCATGGCAAACCCTGTCTCTACTAAAAATACAAAAAAATTAGCCGGGCGTGGTGGCACGCTCCTGTAATCCCAGCTACTTGGGAGACTAAGGCAGAAGAATCGCTTGAACCCGTGAGGTGGAGGTTGTAGTGAGCTGAGATTGCACCACTGCACTCTAGCCTGGGCGACAGAGCGAGACTCTGTCTCAAAAAAATAAATAAATAAAATAAAAATAAAAAGGGACCTCTATGGGTTATCTGTTTTAGAGATAGTCTCATCTCAAATACTTCAATCAAAAAATATTTTAGTGCTCAACGTTAGGGGGATGCTATAATTACCTAAGATATAAGTCCCCTTTCTTCAAAGACACCTGATAACAGGTATTACTCTTGCTCTTTCAAGAATAACCACAAATGCCTTAAAAAATGGACAAAATGGTTCAACATTCATGACTAATATGCTTAATACAAAGAGTTCTATAGATTAAAAGAGATGAGCATCCCAAAAGAGCCATGGGTAAAAGACATGAGTAGACAATTCACAGACGGCTAATAAAGAACACATTGCCCAAGATAAAGCATATTTTTTGCCCACAGATTGACAGTGATGAAAGCATTGTTTGATGTAAGGGTTTCTGAGGGTATGGTGCGGTGGGGTGGAAATTGGCACGTATTTTTCTGGAGGGCAGCCTGACACTATATCAAAAGCCATAAATTTATACATACACCTAGTAATCTTACCTCTAGGAATTTGCCCTACAGGAATTAGATTATTATTATTTTTTTTAATAAAAGGAAATAACTGAAATACAGAAGAACAGGGAATTAGCTGAGTCTGGTTTATCCACACTGATTGAATGCTATGAAGCTATGAAAAAGTGTGTTGATAATAATTATGCACTGGTTCTGGGAAACCCCTCAGTCCCAGGCAAACCAGGATGACAGGTCACTCTAACTGCAGGAGGGAAAAAAGCAAATGTCACTGACTTTTTGAAAAATAAACAAGTGCATATATCATATAGGGAAAAATACTGAAAAGATATACTAAAATTGTCTTAGAGTTACTTTGTTTTTAAATTTTAATCGGGCATTTTGCTATTTATTTTCCAAGCTTTCTGCTAAGCAACAGGGAGCAGGTTTTTGTAAGATAATGCAACAGACTGTCACTGATAGGGCTATTAGAATGTTGTCATTGCAGGTAGGGGGCAAAAGGTGATTGAAAACAACAAACTCATCCAAATTGGCTCTCCTAAGCCCAGGGTTGAAAACTGACTTCGGGACGCCAGAGGAGCAGGCTGAGAAATCTCATTTGCATGAACCTGCCCCAAGCCTGGGGAGATGGGTGTGTCTTGCACAGGCAGACAGATAATTACCCAAAGCCAATACCAGCAAGGGGAATAATATCGCTAACCAGCTCAGTTCCTAATAGCCCTATCGGTGACAATCTACTGCATTGTCTTATGAAAACCTGCTGCCTGTTCCTAGGCAACCTGATCAACGGAAATCTCAGGTTTATACAATTTTCATTTAGGGAACATAAAGGTTAACTGACTGTAATGGGAGTGTTTTAAACAAACCCACCTACTCTTCCTCTCACTGAACAGGGCTGACAGCTCGGTTTAATTCTGCTCTGTCTTTGCTGCTGGTGGTTTGGGCAGCAATGACTGTTTGAGTGTCAACCACCCGCTGGGTCAACGGTGAGTGTTCCCCAAGGCCAGGGGCTATGGCACATGCACTCTCGGGGGGACCCCGCCTGTCCTGGGCATCTGAACGACAGGGGAAGGCAGCAGGTAACAGTTACCAGCAGGGAACCTGGCCTGCCTGCCCTGAAGGCCTCTTGAAAGACTTCTCAGGACCAGGAAGCCTGTCCAGTCCCCTCCACCCCCGAGACTCAGCCACTTAATTCAATGACGTGGATGCAGAGGAACTCAACACGCCAGGCAAGTGCTAGGCTTTGGGGACCCAAAGATAAATAAAGAAAGCCTCTGCCTCTCTGAGAGCTCTCACTGTGTTGAAAAAGAAGAGGCTCTGACTGCCTTGTTCTCCTAAGATGAATGCAAGTACTCACACATCAACCTGCCCCTCGCTGCTTCTGCACTTGTCAGCCTCCCGAGCCTCTTGAGTTAGCACACATCGGGTCACCTTCCCCTGCTGTCCTCCCCCAGGCCCTGCATAAGCCAGAGAGCTTGGCATGAACAACCCGGGTTACAGTCAGAATCCAAACAGGATAAAAAGCAGGCTATCTTTTCGGTTCTAGTCATGTACTTAGGCTATCTGACCACACACTCTGTTCCAGGTATCTACTGCTGAGCAACAAACTGCCCCCAAACTTAATGGCTTTGAACAACAATTTAACCATCCTTCCTCAGGGTTCTGTGGGGTGACCGGCTCAGCTGGGCTCTTGCTGGTGGTCTCATGGCACTGTGGTCAGGTGGTGACTGGGGCTGAAGCCAGAGGAGGCCTCCATGAGGCCGGAGGCCCAAGATGGCTCCTGGCTCCCATGGTAGGCAGCACGCTGGTTCGGCTGGGCCTGCTGACGAGACGTCCACCATGGCTCCTCCACGGCGCCTGGTCTTGCCACAATATGGCGGCTGAGTCCCAAGAGGAAGTGTCCCAAGCACAAGCATTCCAAGAGACTCAAGCAGAAGCTGCAAGGTTTCTTCTAACCTAGCCTTGGGACTCACAGTGCTTCCTCCAACACATTCTGCTGGTGACACTGGGCCAGCCTAGAGTCCGTGTGGGAGGGGGCTCTAGGGATAATCTTTGGAAACCAACAACCACATGAGGTCAGTGAAGGGCAGTGAGCTGACAAGGCAGCAGGAGGCACTCCCCACACTCTGGCTCTTGGCTGGCTGGGTCCTTGGAGCAGTGGGCACGTAGGGCTGCTCTCACCACAGGGCAGAGGGCAGGGCACGGGGGCTCCCTTCCCACTGCAGCCCCACAGAGGCCTGCCTGGCTCCCCATGGTCCTCTAAAACAAAACAAAGGTGGTGCTCACGGGGACCAGGCCTCTTGCTGCAGGTGTTTGGGCCTCACCTCCTAAGACTTCCCCTTGGGGAAGGGCCACCTCCCAGTCTCAGTCCTTGAGACTCCTGCACCAACAGCTTCTCACAGTGGCTGCTGCTGCTATTGTTTCAAATAGCAACTGACCAGAGCAGTCTATTCAAGGGGCAAGAAATACAGTGAGATGTTCCATCTGACTGAGCACTTGTAAGAAGCCTCAGAGGCCACTGATGACCGAAAGACCAGGTCTCTGTTTTCAAGGTGCACAGCTGGCAATGCCACAAAACACTCCCAATACCAGGGATGTGCCAACACCCCCCACCCCAACAAAATTGATGGGAGTGGTTTTGAAATT